AATTTGGGCAGTTGTATTACAGCAACATTTTCTGTAACCGTAAATAAAATGATCCACAAGGTGGCACTCCAAACAAGTATCACAGTTGTGCATCACTCAGAGATAGCAAGAACTGCCGATGCTGGAGTCAGAGATAACAAGTGTGGAGCTGGAGGAACACAGCAGGTCAGGCAGCATCAGAGAAGCAGGAAAGCTGACTCCGACCCGAAACGTCAGCTTTCCTGCTCTTCTGATGCTGCCTGACCTGCTCTGTTCCTCCAGCTCCACACTGAGTTATCTCTCACAGTTGTGTGGTTGCATCTGGAATTACAATTGCTGTTAAAAATAAGCTGTTGATATGGCCAGTACTACCTGTGATTTTTGAATAACCCTATTAGTGCAGTAAACATACAGACACAAAGAAATTTATAGAACAGGAGGAGGCTATTCATTCCATCATGTCCACAGTGGTCAACAAAGATCTGACCAATTGACCCAGCTCTTGGCCAAAGCCCTGAAGGCTATAGCACATAAGTAAATATCTGAATTCTGTTTTAATGCTTACAAGGGTTTCTGACTCAACCAGCCTTCCAGGCAGTGAGTTTCCGACTTCCTCCGCCTCATGGAATCACAGAATCATACAGTACAGGAAAGGCCCTTTGGCCCATCGAGTCTAAGCTGGCGAGAAGCACCTGACTTTTAACTTAATCCCATTTACCAGCACTTGACCCACAGCCTTGAATATTATGGCATACCAAGTACTCATCCAGGTATTTCTTAAAGGATGTGAGGCAATTCACCTCCACCACCCTCTCAGGCACCACATTCCATGCTGTCACACCCTCTGGGTAAGAAAGTTTCTCCTCACATCCATCCTAAACCTCTTGCCCCTCACCTTGAACATGTGTCCCCTCACGACTGACCCTTCAACTAAGTGGAACAGCTGCTCCTTAGCTACTCTATCCATCAGCCTCATAATCTTGCACTCTTTAATCAGATCCCCCGCAGTCTTTTCTGACCCAAAGAAAACAATCCAAGCCATCCAACCTTTCATTGTAACATAAATTTTCCATCCCAGGAATCATCCTGGTGAATCTGCTCTGCACCCCTGAAGTACAATCACACCCTTCCAGAACTGCTCACAATACTCTAGCTGTGGTCTTACCAAAGTTCTATACAACTCCAACTGGACTTCCCTGGTTTTGTAATCAATGCTTTTGATGATAAAGGCAAGTGTCTCATGTGTCTTTTTCACCACAATACTGACATGCAGTTCTGCCTTCAGAGATCTATGGACAAACACACCTTTTGAATGATTAAAATTCTCCTCAACTCTCCACTTAGCCTTCTACCATTTGCCTTAAATCTACAGTCCCTGATTATTTACTCTCACTACAATTAGGGGGTCAGTTAGCTGGACAGCTGGTTTGTAATGCAGAGTGGATTCCATTCCCACACTGGCTGAAGCTATTGTGAGGGACTCTCCTTCTCAACCTCTTGAATCACCTGATGCGTGGCAAAGCCACCACAAAGGACTTTCCTGACGCGTGGTGATGCACTGGTTAAACTACTACCACTCAACTCTCCTAATGAGAGAACAGCACTCTGGTCGGGTAGGACTACAGCGAGTTTGCCCGTATTTGCTGGAAGAAGTGCCTTCCTATCTACCCTACTCCTTTTAAATTTCACTCCAAGGGAAACACAGCTCAGACAGCTTACAGGAAATATTCAGGCCTTCCACACAAATTGACCACAGCAAACATCTGCACAACAAAGTAGTGGACTCTAAATGGGAACAATTTTTTAAAAATGCCTTAACCATTCTATTTATTGAATCAAATTATGACAAAATAGGATACAATCATAGGGGACCATGATATTGACTCTCATGAAATGATATTTCTCTGCATTGCACTGGTTAATGTGATATAAATATTATTTTGGCCAGGAGCTTCGGTATATGATTTTGCCCACGTGGAAAGAATTGACTCAAGTTGCAGAAATTATGAAAATGAAGAACTTTAAGCTCAGATGGATTAGATCCAGAACCATAATGCTCAGGTTACTGCTGGCTACTATTAACTCAAGTTACCCATCCAGAAAACTGACCACACTTCCAGCTCGGCATGTCCAGTATTTGCTGATACCTTATGAATGGGTGCCGTGTGTGTGTATGTGTGCATGGGGGAGCAGGGGGGGAGTAAGGGGGAAACAGTCATCATAATGAGCACAGAATTTCAGATGCACAGGGGCAATGCATTAATTCATTATTAATGTCCTGCAAATGCAATTACCAACGCCTGCTATGCGTCATATGGCACTGTGGTGGTGTCCCTACCTGTGGGCCAGTAGGTCTAGGTCCCACTTGCCACAGAGGCATGTCATAACATGTTTGAATAGGTCAACTGGAAGTAGAATTACACCAAATTCAGTTTACCACACCTCAAAAAGTTAATCAATTAGTCTTCCTGTGACATAAAGGTTCTGTAACCAGCAGCAGAATGAAAGCACTAAACATTCTGTTTCTTCGGTGTAGAGTTGTTTCAACACATATTTTATGAAAATTGATTAAATTCTCTACAACCTTTAGGCCCCATTGATGGTGGTCCTGTTAATAATCATTTAAAATACTGCTTGATTATGCTAATTCATGGGAGATTTTACATTTGATCTTGGGCAAATAAGTTTAAGTGGAAACCTGGGTGATATTTTAATTTGGCAAAGCTGAGTGAATTAAAGGATTCAGTGCATTAAAGAGACATTTTGCTGACCACACATCAAACAGAATCACCTAGCCCTAATTTTGTTCTAAAAAGTCAAGGATAGCCATTAGAAAGAGCAGGAAAATCATTTCTTTTAGTTGAAGCAAAGAACTTATGCATGCTTATGGCAAGTTATTTCTTTTGAAGTCTCTCTTGGGTTGTGCTAACAAAAACAGAAGTTGCTGGAGAAGCTCAGCAGGGCTAGCAGCATCTGTGAAGAAAAATCAGAGTTTACATTTTGGGTCTGGTGACCCTTCCTCAGGATTCGTTTTTATTTAGTAAAGGATTGTACTATTTGCGGCAATCTTCCGTACTGCTATGAATGAAAGAAAGACCATGTAAATTGGAAATCATTTTTATCATGACTGTAAACATGGGGCTGAGAAAGGTAAAAAAAGCAACAACAGGTGGTCCAATAGTGGGGCAGGCAGGTGTTGCTGCAGCTGCCAATGTGACTCGAGGATAATATGATGTCTCCCTGGCACCAGGGGCGAGGATGTCACCGAGTGGCTTCAGAATATCCAAGTTGTGGTGAAGGTGGGATCTGTCCAGGCTGAGCATTTTGCACCTGAACAGGGACTGGATTAATACTTAGTGGAGAAGTTTGCTAGTGGCATTGGGAGCCATTAAAGCAGTTTGGAAGGGTGATGGCGTCCAGAGCACACCACCAGATGGAACAGAAGCAAAAATGGAATGTTTCTGTTACTTGCAAACTTTGGAATTAAGTACCTGGTGTAGTTGTTTGGCAGGTTGGAAGATATATACTTGCAATATTTAACTGCAAAGAAGTATAAAAATGTGTGAAGATTGGCTGTGGTCCTGACTTTCAACAACTAGCCTTTTGGAAAACAACCCTTATACTTAGGTCCATGTTGTTCATATATATCAGTATAAGCCTTCGAACAAGTCGAACAATGTTTGAAAGTGCAAATACATATCAACTGCATTTCTTTTTTTTAAATCATAGATCATAGAATCCCCAGAGTGTGGAAACAGACCCTTTGGCCCAACAAGTCCACACCAACCCCTAGAGCATCCACCCAATCTACATATCCCCAAACACTATGGGCAATTTATCATGGCCAATCCACCTTGCCTACACATCTTTGGACTGTGGGAGGAAACCGGAGGAAACCCACGCAGGCACAGGGAGAATGTGCAAACTCCAAACAGACAGTCGCCTGGGGGTGGAATCGAACCCAGGACCCTGGCACTGTGAGGCAGCAGTGCTAACCACTGAGCCACCAGTAACAATAAGACATGTTGAACAAATGTCATTATACTGACACAGTATATTAAGTGGCTGCATTAACTGACACCGGTGTATGCACACTATGCACCATTTAAATTTGCACACCTACATGTAAGTGGGTTTGGATTTAAACAAGATGTGGCTGTGAATCGCTTGTGTGGGAATGGGTCCTGGAGAGATGGGGGGATGGGGGAGGTTTTAGAGGGGTGTAGTAGTAATGTCAGTTGACTAGCAACTGAGATGCTTAGACTAATGCTCTTGAAAAACTGGTTGAAATCTCTCAGGTGGCAGCTGGCAGACCTTAAATTCATTTAATATATCTGAAATAAGTCTCTGTAATTGTGACTATGAAACCATTGTCATTTGTGGTAAAACCCCATCTCATTCACAAACATCCTGTAGGGAAGGAAATTTGCCATCCTTACACGTGACTCGAGACCACAGCAATTTGTTCACTCTTAACTGCCCTCAGACATAGCCAAGCAAGCCATTCAATTCAATTGGAATTAGAGATGGACAATAAAAACAAAATCCTCTCTGTTTGTTAACTGTAAGAACCCATTCCAGTTTGTCAGATATTATTTGCCTTCATCAAAAGTGCCCTGGCTGCCATTTTCTATTCCATAGGCATAGTTTTAAAGTGAGTGGAGGTAGATACAGGGGAGACATCAGAGGTAGGTTCTTTACTCAGAGAGTGGTAGGGGTGTGGAATGCATTGCCAGAGAGGGTAGTGGAGTCAGCCTCATTAGGGGCATTTAAGCGGCTATTAGATAGGCATATGGATGACAGTATAAGGTCGGGGTGGAGGTTAGATAGACCTTAGGATTAGGGTAAAAGTTCGGCACAACATCATGGGCCAAAGGGCCTGTACTGTGCTGTACTGTTCTATGTTCTATGTTTTTCAAGGTAAATATTAACTTTAAATATTGCAATTTCATTTTGCTGAGGGGATAACTAAAAACGTTTATAGATTATTTTGGTGAGATAAATGCTACAAAATTACATACCACAGAGCCTTTGTCTGTAAGATAACTGATGCCTTCTTCAGGTCCAATTGCTAATTCCACTGAAATTATCCAGCTTGACTGTTAAGATTGAAAATAAACACGAAACACAGGAATTGAAGTATGCAACCAATTTTGCTTTAAACTGTACACGTACAAAAGAATTAAACGCTTTATATACAAAATAAACTATACATGCTGAAAAATATTGCACAGTTGTAATGGCAGCCATCTACTCTAACTTTATTTTGAAATTTCATGTCAAGTTAGAAGTGTGGGATCAATTTTCAAAATAGAATTTATTTTACCAATGAACTTGCCAATCCTTCTTTATGCATATCTACATTGTTCTAACACTTAAAAATAAATTGTTCCATTATTTTAAAATCTGGAGAAATGGTATTTAACAGAAGGGACTGCTACTTTAAAATTTAATGAAAAGCGTTAAAAGATGTTCATTGTAATTGATCTCCATAGCCTAACTATATGCTTCACTCAAACTCATTGTTCATTATTATTATAAACATTTTTTGCAATAATCTCATCCTAAATGCTCTAGGGCTACTGTGCTACAACTTGATGCAAGGAAGGTGTCAGTGGAATTCTAAGAGAGAAATATCAAGCAGACAATAAATTTTGGTCAGTGTCATGCCTACTATTAACAAATCAAAATAGCAGTCTTTTATTTATGTCAGAAATTTAGCCACATATCTTTTCTTTTAAATCTTGTTTGGTTTCCAATTTTGCCCAATTATGACATTTGTGTATCAAATATTTTCACTGATGAATTCCATTTTCCAGAGAAGATTTCTATAGTCCAGTTTACAAATGAAGAGGCTTATAGTATTGCCAAGACTAGTATTAAGATTGAGAGAGACTTGGAAACCAGCAAGAGCTGAGCAAAAAAATTGAATTAATCAGCAAGAAACATAAAAAAGCAGATAATAAGAGGTTCTGCAAGTTTGTGGGAAGAACGCACGTGGCATAGTAAATTTAGATCCCTCAGAGTCAGACAGAAAGAATTCTAATGGGGAAGAAAGAAATGATCTAGATATTAAATAAACATACTGTGCCTGTCTTCACAATAGACAACAAAAAAAAATCAGGAATAGTGAATAGAGGTTCTAACAAGAGTTAACAACTTAAACACTAAAAAATAGGGTACTGGAGAAATTAATGGGACTAAAAGCTATTAGGTTTGGACCTAATAGCTTATCATAGAATTCCTACAGTGTGGAAACAGGCCCTTCGGCCCAACAAGTCCACACCGAACCTCAGAGCATCCCACCCAGACCCATCCCCCTATAACCCACCTAATCTACACTTCCCTGAACACTACGGGCAATTTAGCACGGCCAATCCACCCAACCTGCACATCTGTGGACTGTGGGACAAAACTGGAGCACCCGGAGGAAACCCATGCATACACACGGAGAACGTGCAAACTCCACACAGACAGTCACCCAAGGCTGGAATCGAACCTGGGTCCCTGGCGCTGTGAGGCAGCAGTGCTAACCACTGTGCCACCGTGCTGTCCCAATATGCTGCAGGGATACTGAATACAGTTAATGCCATGATCATATTGAATGGTGGAGGAGGCTAAATAACCTACTCCTGTTCCTATTTTCCACGTCTAGACTATTTTTGCTTTCAAACAGACATTGAAGTGAGGTCCAAAGGAAGTTACAAATACAGAAGTTGCTGGAAAAGCTCAGCAGGGCTGGCAACATCTATGGAGAGAAATCAGAGTTGACGTTACGGGTCGACTGACCATTCTTAGAACCTAGATTTCTGAGGAAATGTGATGGAAGAAAATTGATCAATTATTCACTGTTGAAGAAGGTTTGATGATGACCATGGAGAAGGTGGAATCTATATATGTGGGAGACACAGGAATTTTTTTATGACAAAGATTTGTAGATTTACCAGTTCAACTTTTATTGAAGAATTATTGTCTCATTGTTTCACAAATGAGATTTAGTTTATGCACTTTGTAAGCTGTATCTCATTAACAGCATTCCACAATATATAGTTTGGGCAAATTAAGTTTATATACATGGAACAGGTACTCTCTTCCTCACAACAAATTTGTGAAAGTGAAGAAGTTAACCAAAATAGCACTAGCAAAAGCAGTATAAATACCATACACACATAAGGAATGAAAAATTTGAAGCTGAATACATACTTGACAGTAAAATGCAGCCAAATCAGTCTTCTGCTATATTGAAAGTCTACATCTATACTTGCACGAGATAACAGGAAACAGGATTAATTTTAACAAGTTAGTCCTTTTTGATAAACTGTCAAAGCATCATTGTAAAAACTTACCCCAAGGGCACATTTGAAGCACTCCTTGTCAAATCTGTAAACTGGAGACAGAATCTCAAAGAATTTCAGAACACTTTGCTCTTCATTCAAGTTAGCAAACTGTCGAAAAGATTGTTGTATCAATTTCCTCAGTGTTTTGGCCTAAAATAGAAATTAAAAATAGTTAAGATTGATAGGAAAAATCTAGGGTTAATTTGTCCAGCTCAAATGTTTAGCTACTTACATAGTTTTTTATTTAAAAATTTTATTGCCATCATTTACACTATGTTATCATAAGAGAAAGGAATTTTGGCTAATGATGAAATCATAGCTACTATTTGGTCCTATTACTGCAGTTCATTTAATGGTACTGGCAACTTGACCTGCACCTTCAATCATGTCATTAAAACATAGAAAACAGGAGCAGGAGTAGGATGTCAGCCCTTCGAGCCCGTTCCAAGATTCAATATGATCACGGCTGATCATGAAACTCCGTTTTCTCTTTCCGCTTTCTCTCCATTTCCTTTGATCTCCTTAGCCCTTAGATTATATCTAACTCTTTCTCAAAACTCCTTCTTGGAACGGCATAGTGGGTCCGTGGTTAGCACTGCTGCCTCACAGAGCCAGGGACCCGGGTTAAATACAGCTCAGGTGACTGTTGCGTTTGCATATTCTCCCTTTGTCTGCATGGATTTCCTCCCAAAGTCCAGAGATGTGTAGGTTATGTGGACTGGCCATGCTAAATTGCCCATCGTGTTGAGGGATGTGTAGGTGAGGTGGATTAGCCATGGGGGTTGCAGGGATAGGGTGGGGGGTAAGTCTGAGTGGAATGCTCTTCAGAGAGTTGGTGTGGACTTGTAGGCTGAATGGCCTGTTTCTACACTGTAGGGATTCTATGAAAACGTTCAATTTTTGGCTCAACTGCTTCCTATGGCAGAGAATTCTACAGGCTCACAACTCTCTACTTGAAATTTCTCCTCATCTCAGTCCTAAATGGCCGACCTCGTATTCTTAGACTGACCCTTGGTACTGGATTCCTGGTCATTGGGAACATCCATCCTGCATTTCTCCTGTCCGGTTCAAATTTTATAGGTTTATCCAAGATGACTTCCTCGTTCTCCTGAACTCGAGCGAATATAATCCTAGCCGATTCAACCTCTCCTCAAACATCAGTCTTTCCATCCAATGAATTGGCTTGGTAAACATTCACTGCACACCCTACATATTTAGAACATGCTTCCTCAGGTAAGGAAACCAAAACTGTACATAATATTCCAGGTGTGATCTCACTAAGGCACTGCGTAACTGCAGAAAGACATCCCTACCCCAATACTCTAATTCTCTTGCTATGAAGATCAACACATCATTTTCTTTGCTGCCTGCTCCACCTGCATGCTTTCTTTCAGTGTCTGGCGTACAAGGACACCCAGATCATGGTACACCTCCCCCTTTCCTAGTCTATCGCCATTTAGATAATAATCTGCTTGCCTATTTGTGCTACCAAAGTGCTTAATCTCACGTTTATCCGAGCTATACTTCATCAGCCATGCATTTACTCACTCACTCAAGTTGTTCAAATCATGCTGAAGCATTTCTGCATCCTCCTCAAGGTTCATGTTCTCAACCAGCATTGTGTCATCTCCATGTTTGAAGATATTTACTTCCCTTATCTAAATCATTGATATGCATTGTTAATGGCTGGCGTCCAAGCATTGCTTCCTGCGGTATCTCACTCATCACAGCCTAACACTAAGAAAAATACCTGCTTTTCCCACTCTTTGTTTCCTGTCTGCCAACCAGTTTTCAATCCATCTCAGTACACAACTTCCAATCTCATGCACTGTAAGTTCACAGGCTAACTTCTTATGTGGGACCTTACTGAAAGCACTCTGGAAGTCCAAGTAAACCAAATCCATTGGCTTGCCCTTACCAACTGTATTACTTACATCATTGAAAAATTCTAGTAGATTTATCAAGTATGATCACTCCCTCAAAAAATCCATGCTCACTCTGACCATTCTGGTCACTGTTTTCCAGGTGCTGTGCTATTATATCTTTTATAATGGACTTTAGCCTTTTCCCTACTATTGATGTCAGGCTAACTGGTCTTTAATTTCCTGTTTTCTTTCTACGTCATTATTTAAATACTGGTGTTACATTAGCTACCCTCCAATCCATAGGAACTGATATAAAGACTATACAATCTTAGAAGATGACCACCAATGCATTTGCTATTTCTGGCCACACTTCCCTTTTTACACTGGGATGCACATTACCAGGTCCTTGGAATTTATTTGTCTTTAATACTATCAATTTCTCGAACACTATTTCCCTATTAACACGGATTTCCTTTAGTTCTTCCTTCTCACCAGACCCTGTGTTACCCAAAATTTTTGGAAAGTTATTAGTGTCCTCCTTTGTGAAGGAAGAACAAAGGTCTGTATTTAATTATGTTTACAAGGTTTGTCTGCCATCTCTTTGTTCCTCATTATAAATTCCCTGATTCTGTTTGTAAGGGATCTACGTTTGTTTTCACTGAACCTTTTCTCTTCGTACACCTACAGAAGCTTTACAATTTGTCTGTATGTTCCCAGCAAGTTTACTTTCGAACTCTATTCCCCTCTGCCACTTAATCAATTCCATTGTCCTTCTTTGCTGAATTCTCAGGTCTGCTGCCTTTTTGGCCAAATTGTATGCCCCTTTCCTGGACGTAATATTATCCCTAAATTAGCTTCAGCCAGGCCACCTTTCCCTTTTTCTTTTTGCACCAGACAAGAGCAAACAATTGCTGCAGTTCCTCCTTGCGCTCATCAAGTGCTTTCCATTGCCTATCTATTGTCATCCCTTTAAGTAACAATCCCCAATTTATCATAGCCAGCTCACTGCCGTACCACTGTAGTTTCCTCTATTTTGATTTTGTTTAGATGTCTGTAAACTTACATAAAAATAGCCACCAAGAATATCTCAATTCTTTCTCATTAATAAAATTACTGGCATTTATTTACAATTGTACACAAGCATGGAAAAGACAATCTTAAAGCATGCCATGCCAACCAAACTGAAAGATGTTTAACATAAGAAGTAGATAATTCACAAATCTATTAACTATTGAAGAGTTGTACTAATAACAAATAGTTTTAAATTCTATTCAGAATCATATTTCAGCATAGTGATAAAATTACAACTGTTAATATGGAAGAAAAACCTGAAAACTATACAAGTGTGGAAGTACAAAGTAAATGGAATTAGAACATTGATTATAGAATGTGAAAATGTTAACAAATTGCAAAGGACCTACAAAGGAAAATACCATCCTTACTCAAAAGAAAGTTTCTTTGAGGCGCTATCAGCATCCAAAACGAAAAATAGATAACATTTTTCAGGTGTAGTATGCTTAATAAGCATTAAGAAATAAAGGAAAGTGGATCCCTTAATTAAATGGCAAAACCAAAATGGGTGAGTCAGGCATAGTGATGGTACCACTGAGAGGCAGTAAATAGTTTCACAGCCAGTAAATCTCTTTATCAAGAGTTCAGAAGCAATGTAAACTGGCAGAACATCCCAGTGCAGTAATGAAATAAAAACTTGTATCATTCATTTAAGTAGTAAACCACGATGAGAGATTTCAGCAACTATACTTACCAAAAACTGACATTGGCCCAAATAAGATTATACTGTAGAGAAACAAGATGTTTTGGAGAAATTACACGATGAATGGGCCGTCTCAGGGAGAAAAGAGGGGTTTACTTGGACAGGGGGGCGGTGCTACTCAAGGCTTAGTCATCAAATGCGGGGCAAAGGTAGGCAGGCATGAGAATTGAAAAATGCTGTATACACTACAGTGCAATACTCAGTTAAAGAACTAAGGTTGGGCAAGGCAATAGATTTTAACACAAAAATTAATATTTTCAAAATCAAGGTATTGTTAGACTGGCAATCAATGTAGGCCAGCAAGCACAGGGCTGATGAATGAACAGGACATGCTGCAAATTGGTGTATGGACATTAGAACTTTCAATGAGCTATGGGAAGCTCGTCAGGAGAATATCGAAATAGTTCAGTCTTGACATAGTAATATGGATGAGGGCTTTGCTAAGAGATGAATTGAGGCAAGGGCAGAAACCGGCTATGTTATGGAGATGTAAGCGGACTGTCTTGATGTTGGAAAGGATATTGTATGAGAAGCTTCAGTTTAAGATCAATATGACATCAAGGGTGCAAACAATTTGCTTGAGTTGAGCCAGTGATCAGGAAGAGGGATTGCATCTAGAGAATAGAGGTTTCTAGAGAATAGAATTTCTGGCAGAAGCCAAAATAACTTTAGTCTTTCCATTGCTGAATGGAATTTTGGCTCATCCAGGACTTGAGGTCAGGTAAGCAGTCTCACAGCACAAATGCAGTGAATAGAGGGGTTGAGAGCAGTGGTGATGAGGTAACACTGGATGTTGTTGGTGGAACAGGTATGTGTGGAACAGGATGATGCATTGTTCATCAGGTGGCACCAAAAGGAAGCATGTAAATAAAAAAGGATGAGTACTTGGAGACCTCCAGAAAGAAGCATGGGAACAGAAAGAAAAGATTCTCAGGCAACAACTAGATATTGCAGGGTCATTTAGCTGGATAACAGAAAAGAATCATGTTAAGAGAAGGTAAATAGATCTGGTAGGAAAAACAGAAATAGTATATTTCGTAGTCACGGTCACATAGGCTGATAAACGACTTTGATCAGGGTTGTTTCAATATTGTGATAAAGCGGAAAGAAACCTGGAAAGGTTTAAATATTGAGTTGGGCAATAGATGGGCACCGATTTGGGGGTGGGGGGGCGCAACATCATGAAAGGAAAGGGAGGTTGGAAATGGCATGGTAATTTGCAAGGACAAAGGGGTCATGGGCAGGGTAAAAGAGTATTAGGAGATGATGATTTTAAGGGCAGTCATCAGATTGTTGGATTAGAATACCCTGATAGCTCCTGACAACTGGCCTATTGGAAAGGTTTTTATAAAAGGCTTCTCTATTCGACATGTGGTGGCAATATTGGTAATCTGATGGAACGGATGAAGAATTGACAAAATACCCAAGACGGACTGTGAATGGATTTGATTTGTTGGGATTATCACATTAATGAAAGATTACAAGATTACAATGTTGTTGTCTATTTCTGT